GCTGCCTGGGTGCTGCTGCCATCCAAGGGCTCCCAGGGAACTTGGAAGAAACGAGAAGGTTTTGCATGAGAAACGCTTCTGCTCTGCTGATGTATTTGTGATGCACCAGCTGGGGCTTTGGTCTTTATTGAAGAGGGAGCCCACAGCCTGGCCAGCGACGGGTGGGTGCCCCGCTTTAAGCCTGCGCTTTCAGTATCGCAGGCTCCATCCCATCACTGCTGAGCTGCAGTTTCGGCTCTGGGGCTTTGCTGCCTGGGGAAATAGCGAGGACAAGACCTCTGTGTGGTTCCCCAGGCGATGTACTCGGGCTTCGCTGAGCACCCCTGGGCTGCGGCTTTGCTGGCAAAGGGCATCCCCAGCCACCGCTGGCAGTCTGGGCTCCCATGCTGTGTCAGCCGTTGGTGGGCATGCCCGGGGTCTGAGCGTGTGGACGGCACTGGGGATGAAGGAAAGGCTCTGTTATTTGTTCTCGTCCAAAAACCAGCTGCTTTTGAACTCTGGTTTCAGCAGCCAAGTGTCCCCCTCGCTCCGCATCCAGCGAGGGCCCAGATTAATTCATTCCCTTTTGCTGCTTGGTATCCCGAGCGGAGAAGTCCTGCCCAGTGCCAAGCCCAGCTTCTTGTGGGACTAAATCATGAGTCTGCTTCTCACTGATACGGTCACGGCAGAGTTGGGCATGTCCAACACGTAATGGACCACACAAATTCACTGACTCCTTATGCAGTTTCCAAGTGCGTCAATATTTAACCTACCTTCCTGCTGCACGTGAAGTGTACCCCACCCCTTCACATCAGTGTACCACACTGAGTCTATGGTACCCCGAGGGATGAAATAGAAGAATTATCATAATATTTTATTTCAGTGAACAGTAATGATGAATTTTTGATCTCTCTCTGGTGCTGCTAATGTGTTTGTCTTCTCAAGCCAGTCATAGCACCAGGCAGCGCTGCGATCTGCTGCTATTTGAATACATGGATATTGTTGCTCATGTCATGCAAACACATGGCCAAAAGAGCTGTTCCTGCCCTGACGAGTTCACACCCCGAGTAATGTGGTCCTGCATGGGACACTGCTGGATCAGGCAAAATGAAACATTTCCAGGTGGGGAGCGAGGTGGAGCGATGAGGGCAGAGGGAGGCAGCCGGGTTGTCTGGCCGGGGTTCCCAGCCCATTACCCGTCGGTCCAGTGGTTTGGGCAAACCAGTTCCCCTGTGGAGTGGGGATGAGTCACGCCGGGTGTGAGGCTTGGTTCAGTGTGCGTAACAAGTTTAGACTCTGGGGTCACTGCAGAAGTGCAAGATATAGCTTGGTTTTGGGGCTTTTTTTTTTTTTCTTTTTGTTTTGAATAAACAGCCAAAGTTGTGCCGTAAATGATAAAATCGAGCAAAGAGCAATGCAGAAATTTTAATCATCAGAGAATATACTTACAGTATCTTTTATGTGGTTCAAATCTGTCAAACATATTTTAAAAAATATGTTTTGCAGCAAGCTAGGTCTTAATCTCCACATCTGGAACTGTAGCTCACAAAGAGCAACGCGTTCGGACAGCTCTGCACAGAGAGTTTCAAAATTCACTGTTACAGACTCCTCGAGCGCGTACTCTGCACTCCTGCGCTGCCATGCGAATTCAGTACCTACCCCCTGCACGTATAACACCCCAGCATCCATGCAGAGCCCGTTTTCACATCATACGTGCTCATCATATGTACGTTTATGTATACTGGCAACGCGTGTTTGTACTTGCGAAGCCAGCCAGCACCTATGCCCAGAGAAAGCCCACCCAGCAGACATTCAAATAGGGTACCTGCATGGAGATGAGTGGAGCACTTGGCAGAAGAACATGTTATTTTGTCTGATTGTGTAAAACCACTTCTGAAAGCACCTCACTTGGGCCTAACAAGATGTATTTTTAATGGGCTGAGTTTGATCTAGTGTTTGGCTTGCTGTGCAGACAGCACTGTCTCTGCAGAAACATCTTTAATAGACTGCTATTAAAATTCTTCGTCAAACTGAAAAATGCTCTTGATTTGACGAGGTGAACCTAAATGCCCCTTTCCAGATTCGTACGTCTTACGTGGTCTCCAAGACCCTCCGCAGTGCTGTGCTGGCCGGGGTTGCAGACTGCCCTCTTGCCTGTGTGTGAACATCCTTGCACTGAGTTTCACAGGGCTCAGAAAGAGCCCTGAGCCAGTCCTGCTTTCCAGAGGGAGAAACCCTTCTTGGGGGAGGTGGAAGGTGGCCCAGCCAGCCTCCCCCCAGGCGGAGGGGTTTTGCTCCAAGGAGTTTCCCACGCCCGGTTATCTATCATTATGGAGACTTCACCTCCATGAGGACCTAAGGATTGAACTTTCCCTCCGCGTGCATGTCTAGGGCTGACCTTTGGTGTCTTTAACCTCACCCGTGCTCACCAGGCATAGGAGGGGTCGTGAGAGCCTTCTCCTTAGCCTGTCCCCTCCGTGTCCCTCAAGCAGAGCTGGTCCCCAGGGCTGTCAGCCAGCAGGCAGGGTCCCTGCTCCCTCACCTCCTGCCGGGTGTTCCCCCTGCCCAGGTCCTGGCCCCTCTCTGTCTGGTTCAGGGGTGTCCGTGCATTCAGAATATCGCAGGCCACCCCAAAAATTGTGGCTTGTGAAGTGGCTCTCCAGGAAACCCTCAGAAACCACATCAACGCTGCTGTTAGCCTCACCCTGAGGAGCAGGCAGCCTTTTGCTGCCGCCCTGGGTGGGAGCTCGGATACATCGCAGCTCCGAGATGCAAAGCCCTGCAGAGAGGGCAGGCTCAGACACGAGAGCCGGGAGGTTTACACGTGGAGAGAAAAAAAGGCCATGACTCCAGAGCTCAGATCGCTGCTTTTCCAGCCCTGTGGAGATACCAGCATGGGCTGAGATTGAAGGAGACGTGTGTCTGGTAGCGGACAGACAGTTTGGTGCAGAAGTCTGTCCCAGGCTGGTGGGAGACTCTCAGATGGGAGAGAGTGGGATTCGAGTCTCTGCTTGGCTCCCTGTCCCCAATTCCTGAGCTCTGTGTTGTGGGTACAAATGAGATGGGAACCACAGAAGACATTAATCGGGGGGGGGGGGACTGCAGATGGCAAACGTGTGTAAAGCATATGTGCAACGGAGATTTCTCTCCAGCTAGCACAAGAAATGATTCCCTCTTCTTCCTTTCCAGCCATGTTTCCAGGTCTGTGTCTCCCACTACGACATCTCAGATACAAGCCAGGAAGAAGAGGAGAGGGGTGAGTCTCATTTGTGTTGACCAGGGTGGCCGTGCTGTGTCTCCCTGGGGGTCAGGCTGGTCCTGGCTGTGTGCCAGGGCTCCCCGTGACATCCCCTGTGTGCAGCGGGGTGCTGTTGGCACGTCCGTACTGTGGGGACACGGTGCAAAATCGACTTTACACCGTTCCCTGCTCCTTCTCCTGCAGAGCTCTGTCCACAGCCAACTGGAGCTTTTTTGCAGAGATTTGTCCTCAAATCTGGCAGAGGGGTGGGGATAGGGGTGAAGGAGAGTGATTTTACCTGGGGTTATCACACCAGTCAGTTGAAGTTTCTGTGCTCAGCTTTTGCACCCAAAACATTTACATATATGGCCCTGTTCAAAGTGCCTCTCTCAACCTGCTGTAGCTGTTAATGAGGGCTTTAGACCCATGAGCTGTGGCCGTAAATGACCGTGGTTTCTTCTCTCCACTTGGAAATCTCCCGCAGATCATTGAGAAGCGGCGCCGTGACCGTATCAACAGCAGCCTCTCCGAACTGCGGCGCCTGGTGCCCACCGCCTTCGAGAAGCAGGTGTGTGTGTCCATGATTTCCACCCACCCTCCCATGCGGGCTGCGCTTCTGCAGTGTTAAGGGTAGAGCCCTCAGAATGAGAAAGTCTGGAGCAATGCTATGTCTTTCTTATCATCATCACTTCAGGGAGTAAGTAGGTGGTGAAACTGGGTGGTAAAACAATATTAACAAATATTCAGGAGCCCTGGGGAGGATAAATTCAATCCAGAAAGTGTTTTGCAGATATGAAGATGCACAGAAATGGGGATTTTCAATTTGCATTGGGGCATCTTGGGAAGGAGCTCTTTTTTCTGCTCACTTGATGGAAAAAACAGACCCGATGCCCTGCTCCAACCTGAGCGCTCCTGGACTTCAGGAAGGTTTCAGGGAGATCATTGGGCAAAACCCCGTTCCTGGGAGGCACAAAACCCTAGACCATAAAATGATGAATTACTCTTTTTTTTTTCTTTTTTCTTTTTCCCTGCTCCCAACACACAGGGGTCTTCCAAGCTGGAGAAGGCAGAAATTCTACAAATGACAGTAGATCACTTAAAAATGCTTCACGCCACTGGAGGAGCAGGTAAGAACTGCTCTTACAAGCATACGGGTCAGGTGAGAGTGAAATCCTAGATGGAAAATTCCCCGTCAGCCTCAGCATCAAGAAATACCTTGTTATGTGTGCCTTGCTGACACCAGCCGGCACCAAAACGAATGCTGCCCTGCCTGCTTCCCAAGGGAAGTCTTTTTTGAGGGAGGGCAAATGGACAATTCCTGCCCTGTTGTTTTTCATATGGGTCAGCATCCCATGCATCCATTTGGCAGACTGGGATTTGTGGGACAGCAAGTCCCACAGACCCCCAGGGAAGGCACTGCTGTCGTTGTCACACACCCCACTAAAAGCTGTCCAGCCAGAGACGTGCTTAGTCCTGCTCAGAAATGGAGCCTGCTTCCAGAAAAATTATATTAAACTCTTTACCTCTTCCCTGGGATACATTTCCTGCAGAGGCTGAATTCTGCATGGGGACTCTACAAATAAACAAGGCTTTTTTCCCTTTCTGTTCTTTTTTTTTTTTTTTTTTTTTTTCTGTGTGTCTCTTGGTTGTTATAAGAAGAGAGAGGGAGCCCTGTGCAAAATTCAACAAAGGTCTTATTTGTACTGAGACCTCAGTACAGACCCTCTGTCCTGTTCCAGTTAACAGGATGGAGATCACAGCTCCAGTAAAGAAGCCTCTGGCTTGCTTACCACCCATTTTTGGCTTGCTGGGGACATTGCTGGCATCCAGGCTTTGGTTCAGAGCTGTAACTTGGTCTGGAACATTTGTTTAGATATTCAGTTTGACTGCACTGCAACAAAGGGCTGTATTGTCACAAGAGACCCCGTCAAGCAAAGTGGTCCAGCGCTTCACTGTGCTGTGACATTCTCTGCTTTATTGCTTATCGTCTCATGAAGCTGCAAGTAAGGAGCGGAGGTTTAAAAACCAGCCATTGGGTGCATTTTATCTTGTTGATTTCTGTGACTTTGAGTTTTCTTCGCCCAGCGGTTTTGGTTCTGCCACTGTCCTGTGTCCTTCAGCCAGACGTCTGTTTAAATGAAGTATAAAGATTGGGACCCAGGCAAAGGAAAATGGTGCTAAGCTGTGCGTTGAGGAGACACAAAGTCCTGCTGTTCTGCAAGACCGGGGATGGCCCATTGCAAAGAGGGACCCAGCACCCATCTAGCCCACAGTAATGTCTCCAGCAGCGATAACTGATAGAGTCCAATAGGAAAAATTTCTTCCTTCCTGAGCACAGTTAATGAAACCTCTTACTTCTCACATGCTGGAGCAAGAGGCTTCATGACCCTGGCAGTTTTATCCCTATGAGATAACCGCAGATGCTATTCTCATGCACACAAATGTCCAGTCCTTTTGGACACCCACTTGGCTATCTGCTTCAGTAATATCACATGGCAGCAAAGTGCCTCAAGTGAAATGCATAGTGCATTAGAGAGGGTAGTGAAATCAAAGCACATTCCTGAGCTCCGCACGGACTTACTGTCACCCGTGTCCTCTCCCTACAGGCTTCTTAGATGCTCGAGCTCTGGCTGTGGACTACAGGAGTATCGGCTTCCGCGAATGTCTCACTGAAGTTGTCAGGTACCTGGGCATCCTCGAGGGCCAAAACGCTGCTGACCCCATCCGGCTGCGACTCCTCTCCCACCTGAATAATTACGTGGCAGAAATGGAGCCTTCACCTGTGGCCACTTCCCTCCTGCCCATCCAGACGTGGCCATGGTCCTTCCTCCACAGTGCTGCTGGCCCCGTGCAGATCCCCAGGAGGGAGGCTGCTCCCGCTCCGGTTGTTTTGACTGCATCTTCCCTGGCCTACCCAAGTCCTGCTGTGAGGCCAGCCCCGCTTCGCCGTGTCCCCAGTGACATGCTGCCATCCCGCCGAAGCTTCCTGGCCAGCAGGATGGCCTCTTCCAGCCGGAGGGCCCGAGGCACATCGGCCGTTGCAGCCGTGCCCAGGATGCCGTCGCCAGCGGGTGTATTGAGAGAGGGCTCGTCCAAGAGCAGCCAAATCGCGACATTCCTCTTCTCACCAGCCTCCACCGGCATCCCTATTCCACCAGCTTACACAGCACCTCCCTCCTTGGGCACTGCCGCGCAGGGACCTGGGATCAGGGTTGGGACATCCAGGATCTGCCGCTCCTGGGCGACTGAAATCGGGGCTTTCTGACCCTCCCCTCCCCTTCGGAGACAGGAATTCGTCAGCACTCATTGCCCACAGGCTTAAGAACAAACAGCTGAAAAGGCATCTTTCCTGCTTTGCAGAAGCCAAGGATCCTTAAAGAAAATTCTCTTTACTCTTCCCTCCCTCCTCGCACCGCCTTCCTTGCCTCGCCATCACACATCCGCTCCCTCGTGATGCCTCCAAACGTAAAT